TTGAAATTCAAAATCATATAAGCTGAGTCAATTAGTCTGTGTTCAGCCCATATCAGCCCAAATTGAACCTGAGTTGAACCTGGGTTGAGTTCGGGCACGCGGCTCGCTAATAAAAAAAATGTGCATCAATATTCGTGTCATTTGTGCGCATGCGTAATCCTAGCAATGCGGGTGTCCTTCCTAGCTAAAGTTGACGTTCTGAACACGTCGGTGCGGTCTGTTTTGTCATCCAGGGTCGTCCGGACAAATTCGCTGGCGATCGGGCTAAAAATTTGTCAACCTCGTGCGTGGTGTGGCGAGTGCGTTGCTGGGTCACTGAGGGTTCACCTAAGGTCGTCTGATCCTGTAGGAACTCATTTTTGGGCCCTCTACATGCTGGTCCTTAGCCCTTGCAACTTAGCCCTTGCAACTTGCAACTAGAAGTTGAGTGATTGGAACCACTCATGCGAGTTCTTCATAAAAATGAGTCAAGAAGTTGTTTGAAGTTCTACGGGAGGTGGGCTCCATTACTAGTCCGCTAAGATGGTCAAGAAGAAACTCCTAGGGCTAGATTTTGGGTTCTGGGGAGTAGGAAACTAAGACCTCACTAAAAATGAGGTCAACAGATGTAATAAAATGAGAAAACATAGAACAAGCTCAATTTCACAAAAAAGAACAAATGAATAAATAAATATAAATATTCATTAACCAATAAGAACAAAGTTTATGGCATTCATATTTCTCACAAACATAAAAAATAGAACCATATATTGTAAGTTATAGAAAAATTAATTGCTAGCAACTGGTAAATGAAATTTCACCCCTGCTGATGTGAGAAAACTGATGATTCATTCACGCGATAGACTTAAAATAAAATAAAATAACATCAGCACAATTCTTACCTCAGGATAAAGTCCTCATCAGCATGAACTGCTTGTAAAACATTCTTGTTCTAAAAAATAAAGCCATGGAAATGAAAAATCCTATCGTTGTTGTGAACGCCATTATAAGAAAAGACAGCATGAAGCAGTGTCTACCCTTGCAAATTCCAGATGATGATTCCATATCATATATATAACCAACAACCCTAACAGAGAGGAAGAAAGATCCAACGGGACTTGCAATGGCCACAGTGTTAAAAATAGTGCCAAAATGCCTTATACCAAACAATTCTGAAGTGATTGTAGGCATCAGTGACCACTGTGAACCATAGCAGACACCTATGAGTACTGAACCCAAATGCAATGAGCCCGGAAAACCAGAGGAGATGATGACATGACCAACACTCATTAGAGCAAGAGTCAAGGCAATAAAAAATGGTCTTGCACAGCCCTGCTCGCGAAGGAAGTAATCCGACATATAGCCACCGCCGAATCGACCGAGAAAATTCCATATGCTCCATAGAGAAACAAGAGTGCTCGTTTCTGTGCTCGAGTAGTCAAGTGAACTTCCTATTTGGCTTATGTTGTTCACAGTTGCCAAACCTGAGCCCATTGCACACGCCATGACCAGAAAAAGCAACCAGAATTCAGATGTGCTCATTGCTTGAAATAGATTCATGTTTTCAACTCTTGGAAGAAGAGTTTGACCTTGGCCGATCTTATTTTTTAATGGATTTATCTCTTCTATCAATCTGATTTCATCATGATGAGGACATTCTGATCTGGTTCTAAGTTCTGTTAAATGAGCTTTGAATACTACGGATAATGGAGATAGGAGAAGAAGCAGCAGCAGTAAGAATAGTATGATGCGGGTTGAAAATTTTAATGTGATGAAATGCTCTCCTATTATTACAATCATGAGAAAAATAGCAACTGACATAACAATGAAAGAAAAAGCCTTAAGATATCTCAGATTATCTCCCCCCCTGGTATGGTGTACTTGAACGAAAAACATCAGCAACAATGGGAGGAGTGAGGGTAACAGAGCAAGCATCAGCAGAAATGAGCTTGAGTTGCCATTAAATAATGTTCGGAATATCTGAATGAGTATAGCCCCACTGAGACCCAGAAAGCCCTGAATGGAGAGAAATAGAAATTAGTTATATAAGAAAATTATTCTATTAAAAATTTTTAAGTCAAATTTCACTTGAAAAAATAACTAGAGGAAAAAAAAACTAGAAGATAAATAAGTAAAAGAAAAGGAATTAATTCACTTGTAACCTGAAAAACACAGCTGATGAGACTATAAGACACGAATAGCCTTCATGACTAAAACCATGCTTTATACTATAATATTTAGAAGCTTACGATTAGTTTAACATTTGCTGACAAAATGATACCTTCGGAAAATAAGGATTCCTATAAGAAGTGAAACAAGTCCCCCTTCCCATTCATTTTTTGGTAATTCAACAAGTATGCGGTGGTTTTCATATGCCATGAAGGTTCCGCTATATCAAGAATATCACCCGACACAAAAGAGTTGATCAAACTCCATCGAAATTATCCAGCAAAAACTAATAATCTTACTAAATGTCTTTTACTAAAAATCTCATAAAATGATGTCAGCTTTAATCTTTTTGTAATATAAACCTGGATGCTCGTTAAGGCTAGTAAAGCATCACAACTAAAATTTATCATTTTAAATATGAAGTTTAATAGTTTATTACAATCTACGCAAAATTGATGACTAACTCGTCATATAATCTAGAAAATTCCACTTTGGAAGCAAGGACAAAGACGATGCAAAAAGCCTTACCGCTACTACTTCCTGCTCCTTACAAAATCTCTATTTGTGGTAATTGTTTTTTGTTGGATTCCTAATAAAATTTAAGAATTAAAATTATTAGAGGATCTAAATTGTTGCAATTAATTTAAATCTAATGTTTTCAGTATTTTGTTATTGAAGCTTATAAACAGAACACTTGGGACACACAAAACTCATTCAACAATGAGAATTGACATAAAATTCCGATTTTCCTCTCCTATGTGTGTATTTATTGGATGCATATATTTTCAAAGACTACATAGGTGTCAACTACATACAACAGTAAGCCGTTGGGTGTCACAACCTATAATTTTGTTAAAGCGAGATGCACGTTGGGTCATTCTTTGAAGTATAAACTTCACAGGACGCTGTATTTTATTATTTGTTGTTATTTTCTTGCAAGATTTTAAATTTTGTACAATTATCAAATTAAATATTTGGAAAAGCAAAAGCATGTTTTGATGTCCTTAAATTAAAAGTATATGTATATATATATATATATATATATATATATTTGTAAATTTATAAATTAATAACCTATGCATTGGGACCTTTTTGTATTCCATTTTGCAGCTAATCCTAGGTTGCTTTAGAAAACCCTAGACCCTTAATTATCCTGAATCAACATGGTATTATAGCCCATATTTTCGTCCTCATGTAAGGTAGGGTCTAATATTTAGATTAATAAAAAAATAATAATAATGGAATTTAAGCAAAAATAAATCATGGATCTAAGCAAATACCTACATTCATGGTTCAAAAACATGGTTAATTTACAGATATTTTCAGAATGAATTGAAAATTTGGAATACTCCAAGCCATTCATATAATATAAAAAAGTTAAATTGATGAGATAAAATTAGTTAGACAAATTTGAACCGATTGGCACAGTGCTAGAAATAAAATACAATAAACATGCCCTGCCATAAACATAAACTTAATGGGGCATTTACATATTGTCACAACCTAGATTCGGAAGACGGTACACTGAGTCAATGCAGGGGCATGATGAAAGGATGTTACTTGTTTTGAATTCTCAAAAATAAAAAATAAAAAATAAAAAAATATTGCATACAAACAATGATGAAAATAAACACGAAAAGACAATTTATTTAATTTCTTAAATAAGCCATACAACTGAAGGGAACAAAGAAATAAATGAAAATGAAGAAACAACTATCTGACTCAGAAAGTAAAAAATATATAATTAATGCGAAACTTAAAAAATACCAAAAATAAATCTAAAGTTGGAAAGCCTGCTTAGGTGGAGACAGTCTTTCGAACGGCTGGGATAACCTGCTATGCAAAAATATCAATGGGTGAATTTGACAAATTCAATAAATTATAATTATTTAATTAAACATAAATGATAACAAAATTAGACATGCAATATGAACAATAAAAGAGATGATTTACTATATATATAATAAAATTTACAAAAAAAAAATCAAATGCTTATGATCATGAACATGAAAGATTTAAACTCAAGCATTTCTTTATAAATATTTAATACCGCAAAATTAGGTGTGTTTATTCAAGATCTATCAATCTTTTACCACTACCTGAGAATATACAAGTGCACTATATATATACATATATATACGATTTCTAGGGCACCCTGAAACAAGAAAAGGTAAGCACTAGTCTTATTGAATTTCACTCGTTGGTCTGGTTAGCCACAACACAAGTGCTTAATCCGACATAATAATATTATAATATAATATATATTTCTTAAACCTGCAATCAAAGCAAAGAAATATAATTACAATATGTCCACCATTAATTATATGCAATTATGAATTTGTCATAATGCAATTTAACACAACAGTATAAAAAAAAATACATACTAAATGCAATTAATTAAACACAAGTTTATACAATAATAAAAACAAGACTAATTCTTCGTGCAATTCATTAAGAACAATAAATAAAATCTATTGTAATTATATAAGCAAAATTTAAATGAAAAGACTGGCAAACTTACAACTAATTAGAAATTTAGTACAAGTAGTAAGATTAACAATCCTAACTAGGCATGACACGTTTATCCTATAATAAAAAAAATTATTTACCTCGAAGTGGGCAACAAAACTCCAAATTTATTAAAAGTTCACCTAACGTGACTAGTAAGTCCTACATAAATCAAAATCTCCAAAATTTAACAATTATGAAATTATATGTATTAGAATTAATTATTTAATAGGTTAGAAAAAATTGTAATTAATATTATTATTATTATTTATTTTATTTAAATCTTGCAACAGCCCGAAATCCCACCGATCAAGGTATTATCTGTTTTGGCATTGTGGTTTCACGATTTTGCCCCGTTGGTGTAAGTCTCAAGAGGTCTCCCATCATAGATGTGCTCCAATGCAAACACGCTTAACTTTGGAGTTTCTATTAAAATTCCACTATTACACAAAAAGGCGCCTCAATATTTGAGTTTAGCCTTATTTTAGTTAAGGGCACAATCTCCCTCGGATACTTCCACCAAACATATATTTCTATTTTCAAACTGGTGTTACACTCTGATACTGTTTGTAACAGCTCAAAATCTTACTAATCAATGTATTGTCAGCTTTGGTTTAGTGGCCTCATGATTTTGTCGTGTTGGCGTAACTTCCTAAAAGGTCACCTATTGTAGGAGTGATCCAATATAAGCACGCTTAACTTTGGAGTTTCTATCAAAATTTCACCATTGCACCAAAAGACGCCACAATGTTTAAGAGTTTAACTAATGTTTCCTTAAGGGGTTTCACACATACATACCACCCTATTCCTATGTATTTACATATCTACCACCTAAATTTTGTTTTTTTTTTACGTTTATACCACCCAAATATTTAATATCATAAAGAAATAACACTATTTTAACTTTTAAAAAGTGGAATACACTTTTTCATTCATATGTAAGGTGGCATGTATGTAAAAATTGAAGATTAGGTGTTAGGTATGTGAAGACATAGGAATTGAGTGGTATGCATTTAAATCTTCAAAATTTAAAAACACCATCCTATGAGCACTAAATAAGTTTCCCAAACTATGCTTCTTCAATTTCAAAACTTCATCGAAGTACTAAATAGTTTAGATCATCTGTAAAAAAATAAATTAATCTTCTAATTTCTTCTGATAATTAGGAAATATAATATATTTATTCAACTCAATAAATTTCTATGCAAGCAAAAGCCTAAAATAGTCCACAACCATAGGTAACGGTTAACTTAGTCCTAGGGTTTGTAGTGCTCCAATTTAGCCCCATGGCTATTAAAAATTGATCTTAATAAGCCTATTAGGGATGTAAAAAATTAACCCGACACGCCAACTCGACCTGAACCCTACTCAAAAAATCCAGGTTTGGGTTGACCCAAATAACTTTCGGGTTGGAGTCGGATTATAAGATTTTTAACCTGTTTAATTTTCGGGTCGAGTAGGTTCAGGTTGAACCATCAACCCAAAAATGACATGCCAAACTGAAATTTGAATTTTATCCGCCTATTCAAATTTGACCTAAAATTCACTTGAAATTGAGTTGATTGTGACTCAATTTTGACCCTAAAAGTTGTTTAAACGAGTCGGGTTTGCGTTACCCGTGTCTGGGTCGAGTTGGGATCAAGTTGAGATTTTTAACCATTATAACCTACATAGATTATGTTAGTTTCGGGGGTCGGATCTAAGCCCAACCCACTGATCCGAATTGCCAACCCTAAAGTCCCTTTTCAAAAACACTGCTTAATTTATTGGAGCAATTGAAATTGCTCCGCTATATTTCTCTTATTGAGGGTAAAGCACTTTTTAATTTCTTGAAAAAGCTCCATTGTATTTCTCCTATTAATGGTAATTTGTTCACTAAAAAAAATTGGAGAGAAAAACCATTCCTTCTGCTTGGTGAGATTTCTTCCCCTCTTGAAAGAAACACCAAACCAGTCTCTCTTGCGCCTACATCCCATTATCTTGAGCATGTGAACAAAGAGCAAACGGGACACTCAAACTTCCCTAGTTGGACTATATGTTGTGCACCGGCATTGCAGCCAGCCGCCAAAACCAAATTACTATTGTTGCCTTTAAACACCTTTGCTCCACTCCACCATCTGACTTAGGCTACCCTAAGCAGTTGTTTTAATGTCGGCCAACCATGGCTTGCCCTGAACCACACTTGTTAAACCCGAGCCACACCATCCTTCACCAATTTAACATAAAGGAATAGATTATTTTGACTGGCATTTAATTATTTAGTGATTAAGGTGATTTAAATCTCATGAAATTCAATAAGGAGTCTCAACATATATTCAAAATTTATGTCTTCAAGTTTT